TGAAATTCTACATAATCCTTCATAACTCAACTGTCAATAAGTGGCAAGTAAACTGAATGAACTAAAACAACCAGCTCAGAGCAGGAAAATTTGTAATGTCAATGACAGTAAATGACACTTAATTCCAAAACATTTTTATACCTATAGCCAGGTCATAAACACATATCTAAACCAGTCACCTGGTATTTCTTAAGAACTTCTACACCATGATTAAGTATTTTTCTTTAGCAGGTAGATAAAAGCAAAAGAAAAATGAGAGAGGTTCTGCTGTTAAGTTTAATTTAAAAATAATTAATTTAAAAATAAATGTCATTTAGCAATTATTAAAGGTATATACACTACTCAATATGTAACAATATTAAAAATTATAATTTTATTTTCCTTTAAGAACCAGTTAAAACTCAGCTGGGGGCATAGCTCAGTAGTAGAACACTTGCTTCTTTCAAGAGGCCCTGGCTTCAATTCCCAACACTGGGGGGGAAATTTTTCTTAAAAATCAGTTATATCTTTTTTCAGGGGTGCTTTACCACTGAGCCACATCCTCAGCTCTTTTTCTGTTTGATTTAGACAGGGTCTTGCTAAGTTGCTGAGTCTGATTTTGAATTTGTGATACTCCTACCTTATCCTCCTGAGTCATTGGGATTACATGCATGTACCACTATGCCCGGCCCAGTTCAATCTTTTTTAAAACTAAATATATTTCAAATTAGGAAAATGGTAAACACTAGTTTTGTTGCTCATTCCTTTTTCCCTCATATAAGACTTTTAGAAATGGAAACCGCATAAATTTAGAATCTTATAAATTGCTTCACAACACAATTGCCAATAACCAGTCATGAGTAAAGGGAATGCCACTTTTTCTCTTTGACCTATTACTACTTTGCACACAAAAAGTGTAAATATAATTTAATCTTCACATTATTTTCTCTCACTCTTTGAAGTATGACTCTTATATTATTTGTTTCTTGAATGGGATAGCAAATTTTTATGATTTTTAGGACAAATACTCTGTTGCCATTTCTACCTTTTATATAATAGTGTCTAATTATAACAATTTGGGAGGTGCTCCTTCTATCTGGTGATATAATGTGCTGTTAATAAAAAAAAATAAAAATAAAATAAAAACCCACCCAGGCCCCTTCAGCTCCTAAGAATACATATTAGGAAGGTTTGGGCTCTATGCCCAGGAATTTTGTAATTCACTCAGTAACTATCAACTTCCCAAGGGAAATATTTGAAATTCCACCAGTGAGAACACATAAGAGAAACTGTGCCACAATATTAAGTGCTTTTCATTTCTGTGGAAAAAAATTCTGAATAACAATTGGTTCCAAATTTTTGTTTTGTAAAATGAACTAAATTGTTGTTTACACATTACCAAAGTAATTGACAAGGTCAAGAATGTAGTGGATAAAGTGTCTAGATGAAAAGTCCAGAGCTACTTCCTAGTAAGCATGTCTAGGGTACATGTAAGAAAAATCAAATAAACTCAAGTCAATTGGCATTTTATTTATTTTTTGAGATAGATATATGTTGCCCAGGCTGGGCTTAAAACTCCAGAAACCCTCCTGCCTCCCTCCTGAGTGTAGATGTGTGCTACCACGCCCTGCTGGCATTTTTTTTTTTTTTTTTTTTTTGCGGGGGTGTTACTGGGGACTGAACCCGGGGTTGCTTTACTACCAAGCTATATCACCCACCCTTTCTTTATTTTTTGAGACAGGATCTTGCTAGGTTGCTTAGGGTCTCATTCAACCTCTAAGGCTAGTCTCGAACTACCAATCCTCTTGTCAGCCTCCAGAGTCGCTGGGATTAAAAAAGTAGGTGCTATAGAGCCTAGTTACATTTTTAGATTACTTTCTTATCAGTTTTTGTATCTTATTTACTTGCTTCAATAATATAAAAAAAATTATTGAGAATATAACTTCCTTAGGGCTGGGGGTATAGTTCAGCAGTAGTGCTTATCTAGCATGTATAAAGCCCTGGGTTCAATTCGTAGCTCTGCAAATAATATTAAATCTTCCTTCTCTCAAAAATGAAATAAATTTCTTGTGTCTTTTTACTGATACAGCTACAAAAACAAATACAACTTCCTTAATGATATTTTAGATACACCTCAGTGGGATACAGTATTTATGTAAAGCTCAGCTATTTTATAAACCTTACTTGTAAAAAAAAAAAAATTAAAACCAAGACCCTAAAAGTACACCAGTTCTTTAAATGGGCAAAATAAATAATAATAAAAAAAAATGCGCCAGCATTTTCCTCTCAATCCTTCCCTTCTCAGTCTATTCACTTTCTTATACAGTTATAATGAACCTGGTTTTCCTAGTCCATAAGGTCCAAAAGCAACAATTAGCAAGTGCTACAGAGACCATACCACAACAGCAAAATATAGTAAACTGTCAGTTTACCAGTATCAAAATCCCAAAGAAAGCTATAAAAAGGCAAAGTCAATTCTTCCGAGGTTAATTACTGTACTTAATATACTTCATGGGCTTATATAATTGAAATAAATAAATGATGACCTTGAGTCTTCAAAGCAGCTCATTATAAATAAACTATTACATTTTAATATCAGCCTATTCTTTTTTTTAAGTACTGGGGAAGAAACCCAGGGGCACTTAGCCCTTTTTATTTAGAGACAGGGTCTCACTGAGTTGCTTAGGGCTTCATTAAATTACTGAGGCTGGCTTTGAACTCACAATCCTCCTGCCTCAGCCTCCTGAGCTGCAGGAATTACAGGTGTACGCCACTGTGCCTGGTTCCTTTTTGATATGATGACCACAATTCCTAATTTGCTTGGGATTGGTCTATCTTAAGCTTGTTGTCATGACATAATAGCTCTTTCACATGATTGGATCAAAATTTTAGCACCATTCTACTGAGCACTTACTATGTGCCAGAAGTATTACAAGTGCCTTCATTTATTCTCACAATTCTATTATAGGGGGCACAATTATCTCCATTTTAAAGATGGAACAATTAAGGCTTTCAGATGTTAAATGATTTGCCTAAGATCAACTAGTATTAATGGTCTGCATGTGAAACCCAAGCAGTCTTTGATATCAAAGTCCTAGTACTTAACCACTATAAATACAGTAATCTTTCTAGAAAAACGGGTAGAGGAACATGGGAAGGGATATATCCAAGTTTTTGGAAAAAGATTAAGAGAGATGCTTTTTTCTTTTTCAAAAAAGTATAGTACTGGGGATCAAACCCAAGCCTTTGCAGATGCTAGGCAAGCACTCTACCTCTGAGCTACATCCCCAGCCCTTTTATTTTGAGACAGGGTCTCACCAAGTTGCCTAGGCTAGCCTTGAACTTGTGATCCTCCTACCTCAGCCACCCAAGTAGCTGGGATTACAGGCATGAAATCTTAGCTTTCTGGAACATGTATATATAATCCTTATTTTTCATAATTCTATAAATTTACAATACTGAAACATTCAAAAAATCTTGGAAACATAAAATATTTCAGATTTCATGGGCATGAACTTTCTAAAGAAAACAAAAATCTCAGCTGGATACAGGCACACACCTGTAATCCCAATGACTCAAAGGACTGAGACGGGATCCCAAACTTGAGGCTAGTCTCAGCAACTTAGAAAGAACCTCAGAAACTTAGCATGATTCTGTCTGAAAAAATAAGAAGGATTGGATATATAGCTCAGTGGTAAAGGGCCCCTGGGTTCAATTCCCAGTAACAAAAAACATTAAAAAAAAAAAAAAAGTTACGGTGTTTCAACAATCATACATTTATGACAAATATTCCATAGCTTTCTAGCTTTCTCTTTACTTCAAAATTATTTTGGGAAAAAGACCATTATCTATCTATTCACACGTGAAAAAGAAAATTACACTAAAAAGATTAAAAGCAGTCATGGGAAAAAAAAAAAAGTAGCCATGGACATCAATCCAGAAGCTGTAATTCTGAGCTAACAATACATTTTATACTTCTGAAAAAGATGCTATCTATCAGCCAATCAGTCTTCATGTAATTAAATGGAAGTTATAAAAATAGAGGCTCAATGATATGTTATTTTTAACATAGTTCTTTCATCTATTTGATTACACTTATTAAGGGTACATGGTTTAAACAAATTATTACAGTTACATAGCACTTTCCTATTTCCAAAAAGCATTTTTATATTTGACTCAGCAACCAGATACAGTAAAGACATTATCATTTCCATGTTATTAATTTAAAAAACTAAGGGTCAGAGAGATTAATTTGCTCAGTTGCACTGAGAGGAAACTGGATTGGAGGGTTAAGTTCCAACTGTACACAGAAAGCAAGCAATTATTTGGATGTTTCAGAACATAGAAAAGAACCTGACTTCTTTACTGCCTGAGATAAGATACAACATCTCTAAACTTACGTTGTCTGAAAAGCAATATTCAGTGGAGCCTGCCTGTACATCTCTAGTAGTGTTAATATTTTCATAAAAAAGTGAAAATTCACATTTTTAAAAAAATCTCCAACTACCATTACAAACAAAAATAAGAACAGAACATGATTTTATAAAAGAGGAAAACCTAGCCAAAAGTGTGTCAAACCCCTCAATGATTTACCATTGCTGAGATCTTTCCTTAACAAGAGAACAGTTTTTAAAAGAATTTTCTCCCAAAATCCATTTGTTGGATTCCATAAATTAGCTGCTACAAAGGATCTATATCAGAGAAACTCAAAACTACTAAGAGGCTTTTCTTCTAATCTAGTATAAAGGCACATTAAATACACAACGCCGGTCACACTATTTTAGATAATGATGGAAAACGACAGCTGACAGCCAGTTTGGGACAAATGCCAACTGTTCCTATTTGTCTGAAAATGCTAAAATTGCTTCAACATTCAGTTTTCAAAGAAAATATATCTCTACATGAAAAAGTTCATCAACTAAAATCCTGAAAAAGACTACAGATAATGGTGCCTCTTTGCTCTTAATTTTTCACCTTTTAATATTCCAAAGTGTAAGTAAACACATCTTAACAGCTTTAAATATTTTCATGTATTTTATTTTTTAAACACTTATAATTTTGCAAGCTAGCAGTAAAATACTGTCTTTAATATATTTTACTAATTAGCACCGTATATATTTTAAAGCTAACTGGAACATTGTTTCATTATAAATGATTATAAAATAAAAATGATCATTTCAAATGCCAAATTAGTCTCAACATGTGATCTATTATTAATGATATCATAATTTTTAGCTCTGTGCACAAAGATATATTTCAAAGATGAACTTAACTAGGGTTGGGGTTGTGGCTCAGCAGTAAAGCGCTTGCCTAGCATGTGTGAAACACTGGGTTTGATACTCAGTACCACATAAAAATAAAGATATTATGTCCAGCTAAAACTAATATATATATATATATATATATATATATATATATATATATATATATAAAATAACTATGTTAATATCTATTTTGTCAATCTAACAAATCAAAATATTGTAGTTTAAAGAAGTTATTTAATCTCTGAAATTATTAAAGCGCATATAAAGAAGTCAAGGAATTAGTTATAAAGATCAAAGATACTCTGATAACTGATTTGTTTTTTAAGAAATCCCTTATTTTCTAGGATGAGGAAATAATGAAAAATGCCATGGTGCAAGTATGTTACACATAGGGTTTAGTATATATTAGCATTCTCCTGCTTTGATTATTAAAAATTTGGCCTTTCCAAAAAGTCATCAAAATGTCTAAGACAACTCACATGGACAGTTGGAAATCTGAAATAAAATTGCTCAGTGCGAAAAAGATCCCAAGCCATTCATACAGTTTTAAATAGAAGCCTAGACACATAATCTTTTTAATGTTCTTATCTAAAAACTTTTAAAAATACGAAAAAAACCCTAATTAAACTCAAATTACTTCTAAATACTTTTAAAAAATATTTAAAAAGGGATAGTTCCATTTCTTTTTTTCTGACAAAAGCATTCTTCAGAAACATGGACTTAAGTTCTGAGCCACAATTCACTGCTTACTAGCATGCCTATTTTGCATACCAGTAGAATCAAGTCCAGTTTTGCCATTTGTGGATAACTATGACAAGATACAAAAGCATGTGTTTGCCATAAATAGCTCTGGCTAACAGCAAACTGCTCACACTGAGTAGATCAAATTCTCTATAAGGAGAGCAATCTGGACCACTGCCAAATCCCACCAGTAATGTTTAAGACTACCAATTCTTTTCTAATTCTATTACAGTAGTAAAAATGAATATTTCTAAATATCAGAAGCATTAAACTTTTGAAGGACATTTAACAAATTATTATTTTGACCCAATAAGCAACAAAAATTTCCTGCTGCTTCTACTCAATTATTTCTAAGTGTAAATGTGAATAAAAAAATAACTGGAGAACAAATGAGATATTGAGGATATTTATGTCAAAGTGCAAAAACCAAAAGCCAAAAAAACAAAAAAAAACTGCTCTCCATATTACCACATAAAGAAATAAATAAACATGTTTAAAAAAGTACCACTCTTTACTAATGGTATTTTATATTAGGTGTCTTTAAGGATAGAATATTGTTTAAACCAAAGAAATCCAACAAATCTGGAAAATATCATGCATGAATGTTGTACAAAAAAAGTTCTCAAATGACCAGTGCAGAAATTTATAGCTGTTTACCCTAAAAGTGGTTCTACGTAATATTTTGCAAAATTTCCAAGGAAAACAAGGCAACGTTCTGTAACATGCCACAATTTTTATTGCAACGTGGCCATTTTTGTGAGGATGGGGAGTTTGATCTCAAAACAATGTTCCATTTAAGGCTCTTTTATACAGAAATTGCCATCATGACTGATATTCAAAATATCTTTAGTGTCGCAAGACTCACATGGTAAACATAAAACTCCTACACTTATTCAGTAGTGTACACTCAATGGAAAACAAAAAGGCATTAATAACAGATATTTCTTTTAAGAAGATATGTAGGTAATAGGAATGAACACTGAGGTACTAGGATAAATTGATGACACAGTTAATGAAACTTAATTGGCATTCCTTTGGGGGGATTAAACTCATTTAAAAAACAAAAGTGCTTTTAATGCATAGTGTTATATTCGTGCTGCCATGTCACAAAAGAAGGCTTGCCAAGGCAGGTGAGGTGTATGAATGCTCCAGCGCCTCACAGAACTACAATCAAGTGCAACTATAATAATACTGAAAAAAGTTCACCATCTGACCAGTGGATAATACTTTCAAGGCATTCAATCTGCTTACCCTTTGCAGTATTCTAGACTATTCACATTGACAATCACATTCATTGTAGTGCTTGCTGCAAAGGAGGCATATAACCAGTTGTTTTGGCTAAAATAAAGACAGGAAGGCATTCCTTCTACATAAAAATAACCATTTTGAAGAGTCTAATGGCAATCACTGACAGGCTGCTTAAATGAATGATATCTCCTTCATTCACTGTGTTGGAAGGGCCCAGAGGAAAGGGAAAAAAAAAAAAAAAATGAAAAAACACCTAATGCTATTCCAATGGACTGAGCTGGAGAAATGAAACCCCTTAAGATCCAGATGGCACTTGATGGTCATTTTATAATGGTTTTCCTTCAAGTGAAACTACTACATTGCCTCCCAATTTCTCTCCAAGTGTTGATCGGTCCTTAATATCATCCAAGCCATTTACTTGCCACTCGTGTTTAATACCTAAAAAGAAAAAATATTCCATTATCTTATTATACTTAGAAAAGAGTAATTTCTTAACACAAAATAGTCAATATTTGTACCTGTGAATTTCTTTTTAATGGCATCTTTAGAGCTAGCATAAATCATCTTGCTTTTTAAGGGTGCACTTTCAGGAGCCCTAAGAAAACAAAAAAAAACAATTGTTGAATCTCACTTATAAGAAGAACAAAGGCAAAACTGACTATGATAATAATTATCCTTGCATTTTAAAAGTACTTTTTTCTTTTGTTTTTACACACCAGAATATAAATACTAGGTCTTCTTTCTTAGACTCTTTTGTTTCGTATGTGGCATCGTACAAAGCATATCGGCAATCATTCAGAGGTAGCAACTTCACAAAAGATGTGTAGGGGTCCTCTACAGTATCACCAATGTCACCCACCAAGATCTGCTTTGCTTCCTCTACAATTATTTGTCTTTTGTCATCGCTTAAACAGAAGAGAACTGCTTTCTTTCTTTTTTTGATCTCCTCTTGTGTAGAAGATTTCCTTACTTTCATATCATTAAAAACTTTGATGACTTCATCATTCACTGTAACTCCAGATGCCTGAAAATAAACAAAGAATGGTAATTCAGAACAAGCATTCTGGATTTAAACAAAATTGTCTGCCTACAGAGGATTCAATTTAGTTTGGACATTAAAAATTGCACTGAAGGATGCAAGCAGTCTAAACGGATTAATTTCATTTTAAAGATTTAGTACATGATACATCTAAAGACTCAAACTCATCCTGCCCATTCATCCTTTTTAAAGGTGTCCAGAGAAAGCAAATGGAAGGTGGAGCAAAAGGAACAAATACAAGTTGTCCCATCCCTGAAATGTTTCCTATTTCATTGGGTGATGTCAGAGCTTCAGGAGCAGCGGCAAAAATACCTTCTGTATTGTGTCAACTCTGCAGGCCTTTAAAAAAACACTTTTGGATTTCAGTTAATGCTTCTACTATTTTTTTTTCTTTAAAGTCATCCTAGCCACTGTCGTTTCCTCATAAGGAAAGGGAATCAAGTGTAAACTCCAACCGCCTACGGCTACAACATAATTGCCCCACAGCTCAAAGGCAGATACGTTAAAACTAAAAAGTCCAATATAGAAGCTCTTTTACCACTAGAAAGCATTTAAAAAAAAAAAAACAGTTTTCCCACCTTTTCAGTCTTCCCTTAAGAGTTTTATTACAGGCCATCTAGACCCTGACCCGAAGCCTGAAAATCACCTACCAATTTTAGAGCGCGCGTGTTAAGAAAAATTAGGAAGCGAAGGGCAAACACGGCACCTGGGGGGCTGGACCCTCCTGCAGCCCGGGCAGCACGGCCCCGACCCCCACCCCCACCCCACGCCCGCGCGCACTCCCGGGCCCTCCCCGCCCCCAAGAATCCCGAGAGCAGCAGGGCTGGGCCTGACTGCGGAGGGCAGGCCGGCCGGCTGAGAGCAGCGGGGCTGCTGCGGGGCTACAGCGCAGGAGCGCCCACCTCGGAGGCCAAAAACTGGTTAAAATGGCGGCCCCATTCCCCGGGTCGTGCGGGGCCGCTCTGGGGGCTTCCTTGCTGCGCCCCAGTCTCCCGGCCGGCGCGCCCGCCTTACCATAGTGCCCGCGGCTGTGACTGCGGCAGCTGCTCCGGCTCCGTGGATCTGGGAGGAGGAGAAGGAGGGGCAGGCGGGCAGGCAGGCGGCTGCGAGTGCGGGGCACGCCGGGAGCTGCAGCCCCGAGGAGGCGGCGGGGCTGGCGGGCCGCAGGAGGCGGGCGGGGCGGTCACGTGGGCACGCCCCGTCCCCCGCCGGCGCCGCCCCGCTCCCAAGCCCTTCCGCCTCGCAGCCGGGGGGCCCCCAGCCCGCCCGCGTCCTCCGTCTGACCCCGGAGCGCGAAGCCAGCAGGCCCGGGCCGCTGCGGAGCGGTGACGCGAGCCCAGGGGCCTGGCAGAGTCGCCTTCAGCCATCGGGCACCGCCCATCGGCCGGCTGGAGAAAGCGCCCGACTCCCAGAGGGGCGTTTCTACCCTGCCTCCGCGGGGCGCTGCTGCTGGGGTCGTGTGTGTGTGTGAAGAACTGCCCGCGGAGGTGTCTTTCGTTCTTTCGCTCTTGGTTTCCACCCCAACGTGCCGAATCTCAACGTTTCGAGTCTTTTTGGAACCCTACCAAATTTGTGTGAACTGTTTATAACCCTTTCCTTACTAAATGAGAGTAAACACTAAAAGGGGTTACTCCCACTTGATTGACGTACTCTGCAAAAACCAGATAATAGGCACCCGCGAAAAATAACTTCAAAATTCTGTAGTCGAAATAACAATGATAGGTAGCAGCATTCCTTGGTGATATCCTTTTCTGTATTAGACTCCTAGGAAGCGGGTTGCACTCGCTGTTAGGAATCTTCTGATGCCTCAGTTTATGACGGCTGACATTAGATAAATGAACCCAGGAGTGGAGATTCCTCCCTCTCGGCAATCAGAATGAAGGGATTCTAAAGCCTGTCCGGCTGAGACGAGACGGCTTCTCAAATACATCTTATTTATCATAGAAAAGTTGTCACTTTATATCTTGAGGAAATTTTCATAAAATTTATCATTTTATGAGTTTATAATGAACGCGTTACAAATTAAACACTATGTTTAACGATTATAATGAAAAGCAGGTGCTACCTTTTCTCCTAAATCTTTACCATTTTTGCCTCACTTTATTTGTAAAATTGGTAGATTGAATTTAAAACTCTAATCAAAGTTAAATGTATTTTGTGAAAACGTTCTGTACTAAAAATGTAGAATTGTCATTGTCTGAGTTATTAAATTGAATTACTCAGGTGAATCTTGAAGCAAACGGAACCAGAAGTGTGGTGTGTAAGCCAGAACTTTGAGGGGGCAGATTTGGGAGAGTTGAATGCTACTCATGGTACTGCCCCATCTCTTATCCCCTCCAAACCTCACATTCTTCGTCTGTACAAGTTCTCACTAAATTATCTTTAAGATCCTTTCCAGCTTTAAAATTTAGTTTCTGAGTCTGTCGGTGTTCAGTAGGACTGGTGTGTATGTGTCTCAGAATTAAGTTTAGGGATAGAAAATCATGAGAAGTGTGTGACAAATACGTGTGTGTGTGTGTGTGTGTGTGTAGTATGTTAGGTATTGCTCATGAAAAACAGGCTTATTTTTATGTCCATATTGTGCGTTTATTTTCTTAATTGGAAGATTAACTTAGAAATGAAGAAGAAATTTCCCAATGTCTAAGCATAAATCCCAAGTAAATAAATAAGCTGGCACATTACAGTTTATGAAATCTTTCTCTTTCTTGAATTTCCAAGAAAATCATGAAGAATTGTTCTCAGGACACTGATCATTTGCTGTGTGTGGGTATCCACAACCATTCTTCCCAGTCTCTTCCTCTCAGGGTATCCCTCCCTTCCATCCTGGAAGATTTGCAGCAGCCTCAGCAGAGAACAGGCCTAGATCAGGTTTCAGAATCTCTCCCAACAGAACTGGGGATTCCAAAGATGTAACACACACACTCACATACACATATATCCCGTTCTGATATCAATCCCTCTCTAAGCCTGTCCCCCTTCGACTCCCCAGATTAAGTTAATGGATCTCATGCTCTAGGAATTTTTGCCTGAAGATATTTTTGTCTTTGAACATATTCTGTTGCATTATAATAACTTGTTTACATGTTCTGTCACCCAAATACACTGTAAGTGCCTGAGGATTTGAGTCCTTATCATCTTTGAATTTCTGGAGCCTGGTATATAGTAGGTACTCAATAGGTGATTTAATAATGAATTTGAAGGTATTCTAGTGCTATTAAGAGAACAAAAAGGAAGCTTCTAGAGATTGTGAGGTCTTTCCACATGAACTTGTGAGGATAGCTCTGAGAACCTCAGGATCAGTAGCAGCTCCCTTTCTTCACCCTTGAGAGTTATAACCAAAACAGCACGGCTTGGTAAAGGGGCAGCACTTCCAATCATTGCTGTGTGAATTTTGGCCCCATGTAGTGGAGGGACCTGAGTGTCAAACACCACAAGTATTGGTGTTTTATTGTTGCTGAAACAAATTATCACAAATGTAGTGACTTAAAACAACACAAATTTATTTTCTTACAGTTCTGGAGGTCAGCAGTGAGTCTTACAGGGTTACAATCAAGATGTCAACGAGGCTTAATTGCTTTTTTTTTTTTTTTTTTGGTATTGGTACTGGGGATTGAACCCAGAGACACTTAACCACTGAGCCACATCCCCAGCCCTTTTTATTTATTTTTATTTATTTTTTAGTTGTAGATGGACACAATACCTTTATTTTACTTATTTATTTTTATGTGGTGCTGAGGATCGAACCCAGTGCCTCACACCTGCAAGACAAATACTCTACCAGTGAGCTACTGAGCTACAGCCCCAGTCCACACCCCACCCCCTTTTGTATTTTATTTAGAGACAGGGTCTCAAATAGTTGCTTAGGGCAACTTAGCAATTGCTAAGTTGCTGAGGCTGGCTTTGAACTCTTCATCCTCCTGCTTCAGCCTCCTGAGCAACTGGGATTAAAGGTGTGCACCACCACAACCGTAGGCTTAACTGCTTTTTGAGGCTGTAGGGAAGAATCTGTTTCTTTGTTATTTCAAGTTTTTAGAGGGCCCCCACATTCCTTGGTTTGTGTCACAGCCAGCAATCCCATCACTCTGACCTCTGCTTCAATCATTGCACCTCCTCTGACTCTTTCTCCTTTTCATTTATTTATTTTTTTAAATATTTTTTAGTTATAGATGGACACAATACCTTTATTTTATTTATTTATTTTTATGTGGTGCTGAGGATTGAACCCAGGGCCTCACATGTGCTGGGCAAGTTCTCTACCACTGAGCCACAACCCCAGCCCTCTCCTTTTCATTTATAGAGAACATTATGAATTCTTTGGTCCCTGTGTGGTAGTTTAGTAAAGAATTTCTTTGTAAGAGCCTTAACTTGATCATGTCTATAAAGTCCATTTTGTTGTGTAAGGGAACATATTCACAGGTTCTGGGCTTAGGACAGGAACATCTTTGGAAGGCTATTACTCTGCCTACCACAGTGTACCCATTCTCTTCACAATTTCAAGCCCAAGCAAACAATTAGCAGATGAGACAGAAGAACCTTGAACAATCCTGTATTAGAGCACACATCTGAGCTATAATTACCCATTTACTGGACCACACATGAATGGCAGCAATAAACAACTATTAGGTCTGCGGCGCGACCAGCACGCCAGCTTCATACTAGAGGTTCTAAGCATAGAAGTTAACTAGTGAGATCAAAATAAACACACATAAACTCAATTTACCTTTTTCTTGACCAGGTCTCAGACGGCACTCCCCGGCTCCTGCCTCGAGCCACCCGGTGGGTTGCGAGGTTTACACAAGAGACTAGCAGGAGAGATGAAGAGCATGCCAGAGAGTGGCCTTTTATTGGGGAACAAGAAATTCAGGGGAAAATTCCATCCAATGAAGGTCGAGGGGGAAAGCATTCCAAGGTCAGGGTCAGTGATTGATCTCAGGGTCAATGGTCAGTCACACCCCCACATGGACGGGCTCTCGCACCTGAAAAGGGTGGGGATAGGTTCTGACACAGCTTGGCCAGAACGCCTCACACCCAGTCAGGGAGGTGCTCAATCACGTGCGAGAATGGCTTCCCACAATTAGGAACTGAGAGTAACCTCTGAAAGGGATCTCAGTTCTGACTGTGGTGGTATAATGTTAGGCCATTGACTTTACTGTTATAAGGATCAACTTTCTCATGTGTAAAATGGGGATGATATTACCTCCTCCCTCTCAAGATATGGAGAGATCAAGTGATATAATGTATGTAAACCTCGTGTCCAGCTCAGATTTAAGGATCCTGGATGCAGAATGAAGGTGAATGCACTGATTTTTTGATTTGTTCTTTTTGGATATACATGACAGTAGAGTGTATATATGGTATATATATAACTTATTGTAATTAGGAGCTCATTCTTGTGGTTCTACACGATGTGAAGTTTCACTGGTCATGTATTCATATATGAACATAGGAAAGTTGTGTCTGATTCATTCTACTAATTTTCCTATTCCCATCCTACCTCCCTTCCCCTTTCATTCCCTTTTGTCTAATCCAATGAACTTCTATTCTTCCTTCCCCCTTTTATGTGCGTTAGCATCTGCATATCAGAGAGAACATCTGGCCCTTGGTTTTTGGGGGATTGGAGTATTTCACTTAGCATAATAGTCTCCAGTTCCATCTATTTACTGGCAAATGCCATAATTTCATTCTTCTTTATGGCTGAGTAATATTTCATTTATATATATCACATTTTCTTTATCCATTCATTTGTTGAAGGACACCTAGGCTGGTTCCATAGTTTAGCTATTGTGAATTGAGCTGCTATAAACATTGATGTGGCCAGGTCACTATAGTATACTGATTTTAAGTCTTTTGGGTATATGGTGAGGAGTGGGATAACTGGATCAAATAGTGGTTCCATTCCAAATTTTCCAAGGAGTCTCCATACTTCTTTTCAGAGTGGTTGCACGAATTTGAAACCCTACCAGTAATGTATGAGTGAACCTTTTCCTCCACATCCTCACCAACATTTATTGTTACATGTATTCTTGATAATTGCCATTCTGACTCGAATGAGGTGAAATCTCAGTGTAGTTTTAATTTGCATTTCTCTAATTGCTAGAGATGTTGAACATTTTTTCATATATTTGTTGACTGATCATATTTCTTCTTCTGTGAAGGAAT